GCCGGGTGTGCTTTCTCGTATTTGTGTTACCTTTGCGTCGCTCCCGTTGGTATCCTGGTCCTAAGCGCTCCTCTTTCCCTAAGTTCAGGGACCGAAAAAAAATACGCATACACTCGGAAACATTATCATGGATACGATGAATTAGATATAGATACCAAAAGAGAAAGAGGCATCCAGTAAACGGAACAGACTTGGCTGTATTGATTGCTTTTTATAAAGGTATAGCAAAATTTATATTTTTATGCTTGCAGAGCTTACTAAAGTAGTTTTTTTAATCTTTCTGTTAACATTATATACATAACATCTTAATTTATTTATCATAAATAGTGGTGGTTAGTGCGTAGGGATAAAGCAACACTGGTATAGATACGTAGAAATAAATGAACAAACAGATAAATGAGAACCCTATAAAACTACCTTTTAAGTAAACTAAAAGGTTAAGTAAGTTTGATGGGTTTCATTTATATTTTCATGGAATTTTTAAAGCCCTTATATAGTGGCAACAACTAGTATTTTTCTTGAAAAATCTTCAACCTTGTAAAGTTCTGAAATGAAAATCTAGTAACCTTCTATTTTTTTTTTTTTTTTTTTTTTTTTTTTTGGTGTAGCATACTTTTGCATAATACTTCCAGTCAGTCTTATTCTCGTGCATTAACAAAATCACATTAAGTAACACTGACGTTTGACTTGTATTGTGCATAAATCTTACATTAAATTTATTAAAATAATTCGACAACATATCTATTGACTAACGAGATAGCAAAGCATTGATAAACTTGATGTAATGTTCGTATGAAGTACCAGTCGAAAGGCAATATTATAAGTTTGATTTCGTTAATGTACGATTACAAGGCAATATAATACTTCGAGTATTACCCTAAAAGTGATAAGCTCTAAGAAACGAAAAAAAACTCGACTGTTTTTAGATCTTGATTTCAGAACTTTACAAGGCTAAATATTTATTTTAAAAAATACTATTCATTGTCACTGTATAAAGGTTTCAGAAATTTCTTCAAAAATTTCATTCAACTCATCAAACTTACCTAACCTTTCTACCTTATTAAAAGGTATTTTATAGGGACATCATAACTTTTTAGGAAAATACCACTTTTTTATATTCATTTTAAATAAGTTAGTTCTATTAAATACAGTTAACATTAGAAAGTGTTGGATGTTAATCAAGTATGTAAAAGGTTGTTACAGTGTACTCTAATAGTTAATAGTTTATTAACCACTGAATTTATAAAAAGAGCTATTCACACAGCGTCCTTTATAATATTTAAATACATTCTGGATTAATTAGTACAAATAGTTCGTGGTGAGACTTGATTATTTATTTGAAATAGTAAAATTATGTGATACTTTTTTTTGTGAAATATCTATTTATTTGATAAATTTGGTTAACTAGCTTAATAATTTAAACTATCTAATTATTATTGTAAAAAACTGTTGTCATTGATACATTACCTATTATGTACAGTTTTTGTTTATATATTGAACAATTATACTGTTCAGGCCAATCGTGAACTTTTAATTTTCTCTCTTCATTTTCTAATTTTCTTTAGCACAATACGTTAAATGCAATAGTTATATTTCCTGGAATTGTAATAGCTTTATCTTTGCTTTATCATCTAAAAGTAATACTTATCAATTGTATAACTTTCATTTTACATTTATACATACTTTAATTTCAGAACTTATATTTTCTTATCCTATCTCTTTTTCTACTCTGACTCATATGACGACTACAGTGTATATTTGTATAGTTAACTTTAGTTATTCTCTCCGCTATTGTTGTAATAAATCAGATACGTCTCAACAAGCAAAGAGCCAACATCAATTGTGCTCTGAGCTCCGCTAACCGCTATTGTAAATACATACGCTATTAAATAAACGCTATTTAAACTACTACCACTCAATAGTTTATTGATTCTCAGTAATTCCCGAACAATCGATATTAAGATCCCCGCGTTCGTCAAGCATTTTTTGCTTGAACGTAACATATACATTTCCTACTGTTAATTTGTGTTCACCACCTATGAATACTAAGATGTGGTGTATAAGTGACTGTCTTTAAATAGTACATTACTTACCTAGAGAGAGAAAATAAAGAATGTCTCACATCGCAGGAAATTGACGCCCGCGGCGAAGTCAAGGGCGATAAGTACGCGATCTGAGGGATTCTTTGTTTCCTCCCGTGGGTTGTATACGTTTTTTCACCAATCCTGCGCCAGGAGAAGAAATTTTTGTTCCGTGAAACGGGACAAAAGTTCCTTCTTCCTGCGCAGTGTGGTAAAAAATCATTGAATTTATGGCTGGTAATTAATATAATTATTAATAACCTTAACTTTGATATTTCTCTATTGTCTTCAGGTAAAAGATATACTGAGTACGTAGTTAAGAGTGCATTGATTATATTTGAGATATTAAGTATTAATACATATTTAAATTTGCCGTCGAGTAGACATCTACTTTAGCAACGCTATGTATCGACCAGTTGTTTGTCTTTATTCAATGGCTATATATATGACAAATATTTTATGATTTGTATTAATAAGATTAAGGGCGTAATTTTACTACGAAGGTCGCACACCTCCGCTTCCCTCAAGGCCCCGTTAATTCTTACTGTTCCGATGGCGCAGTACGTATTTTACCTTAGACTGAGGCACCGTTGTTCCTTACACTCAGAATTGCACGATAAGCATAATACCAGCTGCCTATAGGAGCTATCTCAGTGATCAGGACATGTGAAAATCATCTTGGACATACCTGCGAAAAAGTGGTGGAGCGGAGTCACAAAGCCGAGCTCTCCAAGTGGTAGACAAGCGCTCTACCACTTCGGCACTGAGAACTCCCGTGCTAAAATTCCTACCTTGCATGCTGTCTGCTGGGACTTAAGACATACCTATAGCCGGTATTGTACTGTTGGCAGCACCAATTAATTTAAAGAACACGCGAATCCCAATCATAGACAGAAATAATTTGGCTTGCAGCTTATTTAACTATAAGAACATTTTGTAATGGTTGAGCTGGGAGAAATGTGAATTGAAGCATTTTAATATATACATATTTTATTTTTGTTATTTTAACAATTTTTTGGCCCAAAATCGTCGGTAAAGCTGTAGAATAGGATTAAAGAAGCTGAATAAAATAAAATAAAACATATTGACAAAAACAATTAATTTTCGATGGTAAGAAATTTGAACATACGAATCTGACGTAAATTTTAGTGCGGCGGACAAGGCTTTGTCTCTTTCGTAAACTTACCTCGTAGTGCTCTTGTGCTACTGGATTTATTTATACACTCGTATTCAAGTGTTTTGAAAGACTTCAGAGGCTTGTCTCTCTAATATCATCGGACATGAGCTCGTGAACTATCTTTATACTGGACTGTATTCAGAAATTTCACTGCATTTCGGTTTTATTTAAAAGCTTAACTTCAACAACAATGTCGATGGTAATTAGCATTCTAACAGCAGTAGCTTGATGGTCAATGGTGCTTGTAATAAGATTGTTAATCGTTCCAGATCAATTAGATGTTCGTGTCATTTTAAAAACGTATATCGTATGAGTATGTCTAGATACGTATGCACTAACTTGAACACAAAACATTTGTAGAAACTCATAATTTAAAATGCATCGAACGAATATCACAATTAACACTTACTTTTTTCACATGATATCGATAATTATATGAGAAAAAAACGTGATTGATTTATTTCAGCCAAGAATTATCAATAATTTTATCTACATACACATTTATTACACATCTGTAAGAGTAACACTGTTCTTATAATTCATAAATAAATGATAAAAAATAAGTGTGATAAAATTTTTTAATAAGTCGCCTGAACATGATAAATGATTATTCATCAAAAGTATGCAATGACTTTCAGAACTGCATTTAAAAAATTTTGAAAAACGTGTCAAAATACTGTTACCCTGTACATACATAATAGTTTTTGTAACAATGCAAGAATTTATTAGTTGCTAAATTTTTTATACTTCGAATTGTATTTAAATAGCTATTTTACACTTTAATTTAATAGAAAATTGCTGTTTAGCGTGGGTAAGAGCACTTTGTTGTTTGTTTATTAGTTTCTGCTCGTAAGCGCAAAGCTTTAGTGTAAAAATAGCATATTTTGGCCACCCACAAGTTATTTGTGACACTTCAAAAATCAGGATGACCTAAAAAAATGTTCAATAAAAGCGTAGTTCTTGTCACAGTACACACCAAATGAAAAGAGATATAAGCAATTGTTAACATTTCACCAATTTAAACAATTAAACGCAGTATATCAGTTCATCTTATGAACGTTTATGCCGAAAATTAAATAAACTTTTTTAATTACTCATTATAACGAGCCTTGTCTCATCTGCAGTACGTACTTACATATCAGCTGTGCATTGATCTGATTTTATTTTATAGCTAAAACTGTATGTAGATGTAAGTATAAGTTATTTATTACTTATGCTGCTTAGCGAGGCTGTTGCGCCACCATTGTACATAAGTTGCAACTACCTTTCACAGATGCTGCTACCTCTACCTTGTACGGTGCTTTTACAGCATCAGACCCGTTTACCTACTGCACGTGAGCTCGAGACTGTGGCTTCATGGGCATTGGGTATTATCTGTACACGTGCAGGGGTAGCTGTCGCACCGATATTTTCTCAGTGTATGATAAAAATATATCGAAGATTTGCTTTTTATTCTGGTAGATTATTTGAACAAAAATCAAAGTTATGATTATGCTCATATATACTGATTACTGTCAAAAACATATTGGATATACTGGACTATCTTTATCACTGTATCCAAATGCATTTTTTAGTATAATTGTAAAATATTAGACTTAATAATGTCTGTAATCATTCATAAACTAAACCTACAATCTTGTATACGGTAAAGAACTATAAACTTGGATTTAGTTAATAGACAGTTGTTACTCTTACTGGCAGGAGTAAACAAATTTGATAAAATATTTCTTTCACTGTTACAGCTGAATCATGACGAAGAAAAGACACGAGAAGAAATTCTGTCTCTTATTGCACATCATGTGACGGCCGTTAACTATATCTACCGTGATACAAAGTTTGATGGAAAAATTGCGCATCGAAATATTAAATTCGAAGTCCAAAGAATAAAGGTAAAGTTCACAAAGTATGTTTTTCTAAGTAAAGTTTTGGAAGGGGCATAGTAATACATAACTTAGTATTTTTAGTTATAATAGTTAAATAAATAAGATTCTCTTTAGATTGCCTCTTTCTTCTCATTCTCACTACAATTGATTAGAATATTTTTTAAATTAATACATGGGTGTGTCATTGTAGGATACCAAGTATGAGTAAAAAAAATTTTTTACTAGCTTTTTAAAAAGACAACTATTGTGGCTAAAAGTATTTTCAACATCATAAAATATCACATTTATTTGTTCTGCACATTATTTACTCATATAATCTATTTACTTAAACTATAGTTATAATTAACTATTTTTACAATTAAAAGGTTGTGAAAAACTTTGATTAAAACCATCCTTTATTATATCAGATCGATGACGATAGTGCATGTGGACAACCACAAAATTATGGTGATCAAAATCCTTTTTGTATGGAAAATATTGATGTCAGCAACTTCCTGAATCTTCACTCTTTGGGTAATCATGAGGACTTCTGCTTGGCCTATGTTTTTACGTACAGGTGAGTTACTGTTATCAGATACAATTCAAGTCTAGAATAGATAGATCAAAAATATAAATTTTGTAAACTGATCATTTTTTAAATTATTTGGATAAGTTTTTTAGCATCTAGTCTTATATAAAATAACATTAACTCTAAGAAGATGTTTTAGCTAACGATTTGATAAAATAATTTTTAAATATAAGAAAAACAGTCCGTAATTTTTTTACTGTCTTCTCAATATTTTTTGTTTTAATATTTATATCTGACTTGGTCTGCTCTAATTTTTAAATATTTTATCATTACTACCCTGCGAATTCTGTTTTCTTGTGTCCTTTGCCTTGGTTTCTTTGTGTTAACATTAATCTTTCAGACTTCATTTATGCTTGTTCTTTTATTTTTACGTCTTAGTTCCAAAGTTTTTATCACTCTGTAGTTATGTCAATATTTGTATTTTAAAAAATCCTTTATTTAAAGTATCATTTGCTGTGTTTTTACGTAATTTTATTTTCTTTTATTAAAGTCTTAAAGAAGAACTTGGACATTAAAATATTGGTTTCGATTTTTTATTTTTTATTTCTGCTCTTAGTTTTTTACTTTCTTACTTTTACTTTTTACATTTTTTTTCTTTTATAACTGTTTGCAGTATTAAGAACTTGTTCTTATCTTTAAAAAGTTTTACCTTACACTATTGTCTTATTAACTTATTTTGCTCTTTGTCCTTTTTATCTTTCCTTCAGTCAAAGAAATTTTAATTAATTCTGTGAAATTATAGATTTATACATAGACATTAGATGTAATACTTTATATTGTATTAAATTTTACGTATATTAAGTACAGGGTCTTCTGAATCTTAAATCTTTACTCTTTTATCTTAATCCTTTTTTTATGATTTTTTTTACTCTTTTTCCAAATATGCAAGTCTTTTGTGTGGACCCTTATTTTAAAGTTTTCTTCAGATGACTTAGTCATTCATCATACTGGGTATTATTTGCAAAAGTTACCATTGTCTTAAATGTACCACAGCCGTTATCAAGCTTAATGAAATGATCTCTTCTATTTATTATTTTACCATACTCACCGTAGCAAGCTTTCTAAAACTTATTGTGATTTTACCAATGAGTTTGCTAGGTGCAGATGGCTTCCCTCGGATAGAAAGTCCCGAGAGGGCTAGTTATTGGAAAACATTCACTATTCGTCTAACAAATAAGAAAAGTGATTTTTTGGCATCTTCCTTACTCATTTTATCAAAAAATGTCAAGAAAAAATTGCGATGTCTTTCAATGGGCCTTGGACCTACGACTAACCTAGCTTCTCTGGCTAGGAGTCTAGCATACTTATCATGAAGCCATTGGAGATTTTACCACAACTCTTAAAAAATTTGTTTTTTGCAATATCATGTTGCAAACATAGAATTATTTAATTCTGAGACACAAAACTTTTTTTTTGTTTTACAAGGAGTTTGCTGTTATTATTAACAAATGGTTTATGCACACACTGGATAAATATATGTTTTAGTAATCAAGTGGCGCAGTAGTGCTACATGCAAGTTAGAAGATGGTGCTGGGCTACTGTGTGTATTTTATTCTTTTTTAGATATGTATTATGTTATAGATCATTTGGCATTTTTAATATCAAACTTTGATTCTAAAAAATATTTAAAGTTAAGGCTTTCTAAATAGTAAAGACGGAAAAATTTTTTTCAACACTTGCAGCTGAAGTTTCTTAAATTTTTCTTTCTAATTACAAGTTTCAGTTCTCATAGGAATTGAGAAACCTCATGATTTACAAAAAGATGAGAAACGATGTAATAGTAGTGAATTTTTTATTGAACCTTCCTCCTATCCCCTGCTCTAGTCCCCTCCACACCACGCCACACCACTCTGCTACACTGCAGCACACATTTTAGATTTTTTTTAAATTTTATAACACTTTCATCAAGATAAAAAGTGGCGATTTTTTGAACACGAACCATGTACCTTATTTACTGTGCTATTAGCAGTCCCGATTTTACATTTTTGGTTACTTTTAGTCATGGTGTTGTTTGTAACTTACTTTTAGTTTCGATATTTATTTACTGTTCATTGAATAATTAGGTTTGATTATAAATAATGTTAATTAAAAGATTATTTTATTAGTAATCTAATCTTTTGTTGAATAATTTTCTTTCAAAACTGAAAAAATAATATGCACCTTTTCTAAATAATACAGAATAAATTATTTATCATTAATTTGTGATTTTAACAGGGCATGAATAATTTTTTATACAATTTTTCTGTTTTTCAAACTTTTTTAAAGTTTTAAAGTGGTTCTACATTTTTTCCATCTTTTTTCCAATAAAAGTTTATTAATCCACGGTTATGTGAATACTTTAACTCGTTTAATTCTTTCATAATTTTTTCATCCATGACTAAGGTGATTTTTCGACTTGAGGACGTTCATCACAGTTAGCGGGATGAAAGTTAAGGGAGGTAAGAGCAGCGCAAATATGCAGCAACGCTGAAACTTATTCTTATGATATTTACTTGCCAATATACACGCCTTTATGCATGCTCCACCCCTGGTTTCTTCTTTTATTAAA